TTTCTATTTTGATGTCAGTAGTCTTGCTAAACCTTGCAATTCTTTCATTTGTTGTTTCAACATTTCCTCCTGAAGCTCTATCTCTCGCAAATAATACCAAAAACAGGAGCAAGGGCAAAATAGTCCAACGGAATAACAAAGAAGAACAAATGGCATCGGCAAGAAAGATTGAAAACAGAAAGCAACAACACATTTTGGCTTATTATTGCTGATCGGTATTGATTGTTAGTGTTAAAAAAATGAAACTAGTAATGAAAGAGTCGCAAAAAAAAGAAAGCAACAACAATTACATTTTAGAATATGACAATTACTCGTTGCTAGTGGTACGGAAAAAATGAAAATAGGAATGACAAAAATAGTTAGGTTCACTTATTTTAATATTTCCATGTTGTTTTTGAGGATGATTCAATAGCATATATAAATGTGGAGGCAATACAAAAGGAACAATTGTTTTCATATAACAACGAATTTCAAACACTTACAATCTGTTAACGAAATATGTGATTATAAGTGGCATAAGAAGCCAAGCACAACTCGTAAGTAAACATGCATTAGTCTGAACAAGCAATTAGAAGTGGTAATGCCAGGAAAAACTAATTTTAATTTCCGATAATTTCATATATGACTTGATTGATCAAGTGTGGTTGATTATTCTAGACTTCATATATTTTGATAAAAAACAATAACCATTACATGTTTCTTGAAACTTAACTAAAGGCTACTATTTTGTGCTTATTTTTAACATTTTCAATGTTGTTTTTGAGGATGATTCGCATGGATTACATATATAAATGTCAGATGCAATACAAAAAGAACACTTATTTTAATATAACACTTTCTTGTATACATAGAAAAACATGAAAATAATAACAGATCACTCTCTTGTATACACAGAAGAACTTGCAGAAAAAGAAAACAGAAACAAGTTTTACTTGTGAGATTGCAGATTGCAGGGATGAAGATTGATGCAAACCTGATGAACGGCTTGAGAGTTGAGAATGCAAATCGTGTTTTTTTGGTTTGTAGTGTGCTTATAAATAGAGATAAGAAAAATAATTTGGTAAACTTGAGATAAATCGGATGGGACGACAAATTTTAAAAACTAATATTTATTCATTAAAAGTCATGCATATTACACGAAATTATTAATTTTTTGATATTTTCATAACATTCTTCTTTCTTTTTGTTTGTGAGAGTTATTTGACATTGACTACAGATAGTGAGGTGTATTTTGATAATAAGATGCATTTCAAGAATTTACTTACAATTGTAATTAAAATGATTTAACATATACATCATTAGGAGAAAATTTAAACGGAAAAAGAACAATATTGCAATTTTAAGAGGACCTAAGATGTATACAGTCAGTTGTACAAGGGTTCAACTTGTTTATTTAAAAAAATTATCCATTGCCATGGTATCAATCCGGCGACACCCTCAACAATCAAATTGGATATCTCCGCCATTAGTCGCTACCAACAACCACTCCTTTCGCCACCAGGTTCTTCTCTTTATCTCTTTAAGTGTATTTACGTGTGTGTTTTCTTGTTACGATGGTTCTGGAACTCAATTAATACTTCACGTATCCATAAACAGTTACAAAAATCCCCCAAATCAGTGGAGAATTAGGGCATGCTGTATCAAATCGATTACGTTGATTTAAACATTTTCTGATCTTTTCATAGCTAATCGTTGGTTATCTAATTTTCTATTGGCTATTTGATTTTGACATTGCGATTTCATCCGCGGCATAAGTATAATCCACATAATTTGTCTTCCTCATATGATGATAAAATTTTCACCCTGCAGCTTGAAGATTTACGGATTGTAAAAAAATTCAGTAGTTAAACTGAACGCTTCGATGACAGAAATGGTAAATCAATTCATTCCCTCGATCTAATCACCGAGTTTATTCATTATTGTATCTTGTCTCATTCGAAACCTAATTAAGTATGTTTTCAGTAGTTCTTAATCCTGTGTTATATTGTTCTTCAGGATCAAAAGATAACAGAAGCTTTGAAGAAGATGAATGCTTCGAAAGAAGGAGCCACTGCTAACGTACAAAGATTACTTCCGCTTCTGGAGACATTAAAGGTTTCCATTTATGCATTTCAGATACTCATAAGCTGAATTTATTCTTCTCAAAATTAACCAAAATCATTAATTCTGTATGTTGTTATGTATGATTATGAATTAGGTTCTTGAGAAGAAAGAAGAAGAAGATGAATCAAATTACAGTGAAGTATATGCTAGACTGCAGTCAGAGCTCAGTGAATTGGAGAAGATGATACAGATCAATGATGCTGTTGAGAGATTGAATTCAGCAAAGATGGTATTTCTTGTAATGCTTATAGTTATATTTGCACCTTGAATATACAAAAATATTTAAAAAGTAAAAATATATATTTTTTTTTCTATAAATTTTGTTACAGGAGCTTTCCTCAAAGCTAAGGGAAATTATATCATTAAAGCGCCAACACGATGATATTCCCACACAAGCAGAACTTATTCAGTAAGATTTATAAAATAATAAAAAAAAAAAGTCAACAAACTTTTTGTTAAATTTGAAAAGTCAACATATTTTTGTTAAATTTGAAAAGTATTTTCTACACTGTAGATATGAACGTAGGTTTTCAGAACTTAATGTTCACATTCAGGTATGTCAGTTTTTTTTATTTTTTATTTTCTTTCTCGAAGGTTAAATTTTAAAAAAGTCAAAATATTTTTTGTTAAATTTTCCGTTTGTTAATAGGGAAAGCTTCGGCAAACTCGTAAATACTATGCAACATATAACGCTTTATTGGAAATAAAAGAACTGATGTTGAAGGAAACTTCTTTATTAAACTCAATGAGTTCACAGGTAAATTATATATATAAATGAAATAATTATTTTTTTGATTATCATTAATGTAATTATTTATTTTTTGTTTTATGCAAATTAAAACAACAGTTACATGATGCACTTAATAGTCCTTCTGGTCGAGTAACATTGACTAGTTCCATAGATGGAATTTCAAAGAGTATTCAACAGGTAAATATAAAGTAATAAATTATAATCACTAGAATTTATATCAATTTTATAAAATTTGAAGTTGTGTATATTTATTTTTATATTTTGTAGAAGCTTAAAAATGTGGAAGTGACGTTGGAAGCAGAGAAGAAAGCTTGTGAAGGTTTGAAGAAAAAGCATGCAGCAGCGAATTTGGAGAAAAGGCGTTGCTATTCTTTGTTAAAGGAGTTTCAAGTAAGTATTTATTTAATTAAATTGTTAATAAATTTGTTTATTTAAGAAAAATAAAACTTTTTTTTTTGTTAATGATGGTTATTTTTATGTCTCACTTTTGATTATTAGGAAGAATGCACGAGGAATGAGAGACTTAGGAATCAAACTTCTTCTGTCTGATATCTGTGGTTAGAAGGAATGTAACAATTTTTTATTTTATTTTTTTATTATTTTTTTTATTCCAAATATAGCTCATATAGTTATACTGTTAGATTTGTATGGTTGTTTGGTATATGTTGTTTTGGTTTTGTTTTTTGTACTATTTTGTTTTTTATGAAATTATTTTATAAAACTATAAAGCAGATCAAACTCATAAAATATATAATAAGAACTAAAATAACTAATATATGTTTGGTTGTGACTATTTCATTTTAACTAGTTATGAAACATATTAAAAATATTAGTGATCGGATATCATCACCATTTTCCGTACCACAAAATGATGCAAATAGTTATTTGTCTACAAAATATGATATCATTTTTTACACAAAAAAATTCTAAGTATGTTTACAACTGCATTTATTGGCTTTTTATAATTATGGAATATGGGTCTGGATTAGGGATATGTTTCAGGCCAGAACCGACCCGAATAACTTGAAACCTGAATTGGATGAAAAGTTGGAACCGAAGCCCGGATCGATTATTAACCTGAAAGGACCGAAATAACATATAAACTATGCTTCTAAACCGAAATGATCCGAATAACCAAAATAAATTGAATTGACCCGAATAAACACAATTAACCGAATAATCCAAATATGAAACTAGCATTTGAAATACCATAGCTCAAACATGTACAACACTTCTGTGGGTTTACGAATGGCAAAAAAAAAAAAAATATTGGTTAAGGCAGAAATAGGAAGCTCACGTGAAATCAGAGACAACGACGCAACATCTATTTGTAAAGCTTTATTCAAACCCTAAAACAAGTTTCAGTCAATTACAGAAAGTAATAACTAATTTAGCAAAATTCATTAATTTTCTGGTCAGTCATTTTGACCCGATTAAACCTTTATTCGGCTAACCAACACTAAACAACCCGAGAACCGAATTGGGCTAAAATAGATATCCAAGAACGGACCCAAATAACTTTTACGATTCCAATGTGGATCAGTCCGGTCCTAGTTTTGGTTTCAGTTAGGGTAATCTGTCCAAATGCACATCTCTAGTCTAGATCCAATGAAGACTTAAAAATCGGAAAGAATTTCACGGATAATTTTGTACCATTCATTTTATTAAGAGTACAAACGTCAAATTTAGTATTTTTTTTTTTTAAATTAATTTTTTTTTAATGTAATTAAACTTGATCTTAACTTTTTTTATTTATTATTTATGATTTTTTAATGTAATTAAACTCGATTTTAGTTTTTTCTTATGTTCCTTTTTATTTTCTATGATGTAAATTGTTAGTTATTAATATTTTTAAAATTTTTTTTCCCTCTTCTAATTTAAACCTCAATACCAAAATCTAACAAGTAATTACTTAAAACGTCATATCATTTTACGACATTTTAACAATAAATAAAATTAAATTTCTAACTATTTATTTTTTTCAATCTTACAATAATGATTTGTCTTCACATTATTACTAATTTTTAAACTTTCATTTGATCCTACTTCCATATAAGAAACAAATTGGGATATAAATAAAATCTTTTCAATGATGTCTTACATTAAAAATTAATATATATTGAATATTTAATAAATTATGTGAATAAGATAAAATTATAAATAGAAAATTACGAGCAAGAAAAATTGAATATTATTCCAAAATTAGATAAACATAGAAGCAAATTTGCTTGCAAAAACAAACAAACAAACAAAAGGAAAAAAGAAAGATCATAAAACTAAAATGGTTTAATGGCTTTGGACTTGTAAGCTTTGACAGCCTTCTGAATTAACGAAGAGTGATTGTGAAAGAATACCATC